AATTGAACTTGGTTTTAATTCTATTTTTGCTACCTTGGAAAGTGACATCTATATAGACTTTTCTCTTCTGAGATTAAGATAATGTCTGTCTGATTCTGAGATAGTTTTCTGGGCAGAGGTGTGTTGAATGTATTGGGACAAGTTTAATATTTGTTTGGGGTTTTTTTCTGTTGTAAAATAACTAAAGACTTTGGGCGGGGTGTGTTTCTCCCATTTCTTGTCACATCTACATAGTTGCATTAGTTGTTTTAGAAGATGATAGAGTTCTACATTCAGTAGCACTTATTTCTATTTCTCTTTATGATAGGAAATTTTTGAAACACCAGCTGAGAGGAAAGAACTGTGAACTCCTACTGGTGGTGCCAGAGGAGGTGGAAGCACATCAGACCTGGAGAGCTGACGTGTGATCTGGACCGACTCTGTCCTCCAACTACAGCTCTTCCCCTTTACCAAACTCCTGATGTCCTAAAACCTGGATAATGGATGCCCCGACTCTTCCTGTCTGGAATTTCCTTTGTTAGGCTCTTCTCTTCCTTCCTTGGTGCAATAGGGCAATGGTGCAGGATGTTGGGGGTGGTGGGTGGGGAGAACTGAGGCCAGAGTGGAGGAAACTGGAAGCCAATCACTTTAGTTGCAAGGTGGATAAGCTGCGTGCCCTTTGGCCAGCGGGAAGGCATCGTGCTCTTTAAAACTGGGCTGGGGGCGAGGGTACCTGGAAACCTCCGGCCTCCCTTTCCCCACGTGGCTCAAGGTGTATGGTGGGACCCTGCCCTGTCCAGGGCTTGCCAGGGAGGAGCAGGGGCCAAGCATGCTGCCACCTCTTCACAAGTCTCTCCCTCCAAAACAAGTCACCATGAAGACATTTGCAATTCCTAAGGATCTCTCAGGACACTCAAAACACTAGGAATGGTACGGTGCTCAGCACGACCCTCTGCTTCTTAGGGCTGGTTTGTGCCAGAAATTAGGAAACAATAATAAGAACAGTGTCATCTTCCAAGAAATTCTTCGGGTAGCTAGAGGATTCTTCCCCAGTGTCTCCAGGGATTTATGTTATGTGGTGAGTGGTTCTTTGGCAGCGTGTGGCTGGCTAAGGTGACATGGAAACAGCAAGCACAGGCTGAGGAGTATCAAGTTTCTGGACTGGAGAGAGGCCATAGTCTGCTTGGGTTTCTTCGTGCTGTGGTGTGGGGGGGGATTATTTTGTTTTACTTTTTAACACCTATTTTGGTTTTCTGCACGGTCACCCAGTAGTTTAGAGGCTGCTTGGAGAGGGGAATAAAGCCGAAGAGGTTTTGAGAGAAATTTCATTCCCTTTTATTTCCTTCTTCAGAAGCCTAGCCCACAGTCAGGAATGTCATGTGAAACGTCCCAGAAACAGGTCAAGTTACAAAATAAGAATGAGCTGAGGAGGGAAGCCTTCATAACAGTCAGGTTTGCCCTTTCATAGTTAGTAGCCACTGGCGTGGGAGCTGCAGAGGGTCCACCAGAACTTTCAGGCATTAGAGACACCCTGACTTAGTAGTTGAACCAATCTCCCCTTTAGTGTTGGCCGACAAACATTCCATTAATGGATGAATTGCTTTTTCCTGCCTTCTGTGGGGAAGAGTGACTAGACATGGAGACTCTAAGCAGAATCCCTACTGGCTGTTCCCAGTCACCCAGATGAGCTGTAGCTCAGCCATGCCTTCCATGGCAGGAGGTGGTAATGCTGAATTTGGAACAGACTTCATTCTGTTTAGCACTTCCTGGTGAGCTGCTGTTTGCTTCTTCCCTCTTTACATGTCCGAGTTGAACAGCAGCCTCTGGTACCTGATGGAGCTTGAAGGATCCTGCTCCATCGTGCAGGAAAGTCTCATTACTGATGTTTGAGCTGGTGAAAGGAGGGCTTGTAATGATCTTTTCTCAGTTATTTTTCTCTTCAGAGCTCTGCAAATGCATGAGTGGGTGCTCGAAGTTGAAAGACCACCAAAATGGCACCTTCCCAACCGAGAGGCCATATGAGGATGGGATGATGGTGTTCACTGCCCCCTGGACATCTGGCAAGCACTGTTTTGCAGTCCTTTGAGCACAGCCTCCCACAGTAAAGGGCAAACGGCTCTTATGTTTTAAAAAGTCCTATTTCGTAACACATTCCAATGACCAATACCAGCTGGCAGAGTTTTTAAACACTTTCCAGGCAGGATGTGCAGCCTGCAGGCATTCTGCTCCTGACTTGAAGCCATTTCTTCAAGAGGGGTAAAAATATATCTCAACAGCGACATTTTCTATGCTGATTGAAGTTGCACTTTGGAGAAAAACTGTTTGCATGGAAACTGCAAGCCAATGGACAGTGCACAGTATGCAAAGATGTTTTAAAATACTTTGGGGCTACTTTCCTCTCCTTGTACGTCAGCTGCTTTCCCATGGGAGGGAAACAGTGTGATCCAGCTGCTCAGGTAAAGGGAAAGTGTACGATCACACCCCTGTGGGAGGCGAGGCTGCCGTGCCCAAGGGTGGGTGAGCCGGTCCAGTCCCACCGCTCAGGAGTGGGGAAGCCCCTGTTTGTTTTCTTGCTTGTTTGGTTTTGTTAGAGCCTTGTCTTGGGTTTGTTTACAGAGATGTATTTTGTTTAACCAAATATTAAAAATGGGGAAAAAAATTTTCCATATAAATGTCCTATCACTTCTGTATGTTCAACTGAATTGTTCTGTAACAAAGTATGTAAAGGATAAATAAATTTTTTTTCTTTGGTTATAAAACCACCACCCTTCTGTGAGTTTAGAACCTTGAATGTTGGTCACTAGTGCTGAGCACCTCCCTGAGAACTCCCTTAAGCCATGCAAGGCTTCCCCCCCACTCTGAGGGTGACAGAGCCATGTCAGTCCCTTCCCCGTTGCCAGGAAATGCATGAAATGGAGAGGTCCCTACCCACAAAGCTCCCAACAGCTCTGAAAGAACTGAGCCTCCCTCAAGGACATCTATTAAAATCACACTGCTCAGGTTGGATTTATTTAATATTCCATACAAAAAAATACGCAGCTGATATCTGAAGTTCTACTTTATGAGGCAGAGAATCTGCGTGGATGTGATCGTCTCAAACCTGGCCTGCTGCTCCCTCTGTTCTCACACACACACAGAGCTACAGTGAAAGTGTTTCTGCAGACACATCTTCCCAAAGAGTGTTTTCCATGGGGTATGGATTGCCACCTGCACCCCTCCTTCCTCTGCTGTGAAAGTCACTCCTCCTGCCACCAGTGTCCTTCAGCTCCAAGTCAGGCAGGAAAGAATTTGTCCTCTCTGACTGCTGCTTTTCAAAGCCTGACCTGTGCCCCAGGGTGGTTTTGGGGGGGGGGCAGCGGCAAGAAAGCTGGCAGAGGAGCTCCCCCAGTCCAAGTCTGTACCTGGTTATGGCATAGTGATTGAATAAAAGGAAATACTCATGATTTCTACAGGAGGGGGGATGCAGACAGGAACCGTCATCAGGTCCAGAGGAGGGGCTTCCCCCCCTCATTGTGAACAGGTCAATGTCCCAAAGGAGAACCAAAACCAAAACCAAACAAAAGGAAAAAATGCCCTGACCCAACAAATCAACAGTTCAATATATCATAATCGCGAGGTCTTCCCACTTGATATGAATCCAACTCAGCTTTCACAAATTACATTTTTCCAGACAGCGGAGGCAGGGCCCCTGGCATTCCCCCTGAGAGCCCTGTGTTGGGTCCAAGAAGGATCTGAAAGGAAAACAATTGGTTGAGTGGCTTCAAGGACACAGGAAGGATTCCCACCCTGTCCCCCCTCCTACAGGTACTGGCAGTGCCACAGCCGAGGTCAATGTCTGACCACAGCCCCTGTTTCAGCTATTCCAGCCCCTCAAGGCCTATCTCAGCTGGAGAAAGCCAGGTTGTGCTTGCCAGAGAATGCCACCAGCCTGACGCTGGGAATCGGCAGGACTGTCCCACTGGAACATCCAGCTGGAGAATCTGGTGTGATGAGTGATGCCGCAGTGTGTAACAGTGCACTCCTCTCCCCCAGCAGCTGGTCACAGGGGGAGGCACTGGCACCCCCAACCTACTTTGCAGGGCTAGGAGAGAGGGCTGGGCCGTTCCTGCCTCACCTGTCGCTGCTGCAGCTGCTGCTGTTGTTCCATCTGCAGTTTTTCCGTTTCAAAGACGACAGGAAGAACCAGAATCATGAAGGAGGTGGTCCCAATCCACAGAGCTGCCCTAGAGAATCTAGCAAGGAGAAAGAACATTAGGATTTAGAATCAGTTCTTTAGCCACTTCTTACCCACTTCCCACGCTTCCCTTCTGTGCCTCGGGCAAAAGCCTTCCTCCAAATCCACCCCCGAGCTCCGGGTGGCACCTTACCCCCGCCCTCCTCGCGCCACCCAGAAACAAAGAGCGCGGCCCCGCCGCTGCCCGCCGGCCCCGCACTGCGCTACCCGCGGCCAAAGCCGCCCCGCGCCCCGCTGCGCCAGCCGGGCCCGCTTCGAGGGGCTCCCGCCGCCCCCTCACCTGTACATCTTCTGCGCTACCGTCAGCGACAGGTCGAACGTGGCCCCGGCCGCCGATCGCACGCTCTCGGGGAACATCTCCGTGAGCCCCCACAGCCGCTCCGCCAGCGTCTCGTCCAGCTGCGGGCGGCACCAGCGCGTCAGGCCCTGCCGCCCGGCCCCGCGGGGTCACCGCGCCCGCTCGGCCCGCCCGGCCCGCCGCGCCGCCGCCCGCCCTGATACCTCCTCGTCGTCCTCCTCTTCTTCCTCCAGCTCGTCTTCCAGCTCCTCGGCCTTGCCCGCGCCGCCCTTGGGCAGCAGCTCCTCCGGGGACAGGGACGCCGCGGCCGCCATCGCCACCAGACAGGACGGAGGGGAGCGGCGGGCGGAGCGCCGCCGGAAGCGAGGCAGCCCTCCCGCCGCCCGGTCCGGGCGAGGCAGCGGCCCCTGGCGGCGCGGAGGAACGATGGCCGCCCCCCCGCCCGGCCGCCCCAGCGCAGCGCGACCCGACACAAACACCCACAGAACCGTGTTTTAAAGGCGAGGTTTTATGTAGATTATGCAAAACCCTCGAGAACGAGCAACTCCAGCATCCCGCTCGCCCAAGGCAGGCGGTGAGGCTTGTACGAGCCTTCGCGGGCTCCCCGTGGGGGGACAGGCTGGAGGGGGCAGGGGTTTCCCTGCCTTCCTAAGGCATGGAGGAGCCCGCACGGAGAGGGATCTTCTCCACCGTCCTTGTCCGGCTGCCTTGGAGAGAAGGGTATCTATGCTGGGCTGCTGCAAGGTAAAGTGCTCTGAGAAAAAACGTGTTAATTTTAACAGTGCTGCGGTGCCAAACCAACCATCAGCAGCATCACGGCACTGCACAACGCTGGAGGCATCTCGTCACTCTTGGTCCCATGAAACAAAGTACCTACACGCAGTACCAACGAGGCTGGGAGGCCCAAGCCGGCCCTGGCATCCTGTGCACCAAGACCCAGAGCCAGCCCCATTCTCCAGCCACCTCTTCTTCACTTCCTCCTCCGGCTGTGCTGCTTCAGCTCCTCCAGCTCCTTCTCCATCAGGTGGGACTCAGCGGTGGTCTCGGAGAGCTGCAATGCACAGCAAATGATGACAAGAGTGAGTTAAAAGCTTGTGAGGCTTCTCTGACTTCATAGCACAGTTGAGATTTACCACTGCAAGCCAGGACCTGCAGAAGGGAATTTGTTCCTATTGAGCAAGGGGGAAGCTGCCATGTCACACTTCACTGAGATCACCCGGAAAACCTGGAGAGCAGCTAGGGTTTCTGCTCAGTGCTCCAGCCACAAAAGCCACTTGCCAGTTTCAAAACATGTGAAGAGTAAGGAAGGAAAATAAAGGAATGAGTATTTGTCCAGACTGACATAAAGGCTAAATCACTTAATAGACGGAGAATACACGTGTGTTCTATTTCACTGAAAGTCTCTCCAGATTTTAAGCACAAAAGTTGTGATCTTAGGATAAGGCTGAATTTTGGTTTATTTAGGGCTTGGGAATTCTTTCATCCACAGGTTTAAACACAGAACAGATGTCATGCCCCTCGTGACAGCAGATGGAAGCTTTAATCCTCTGTGACCAGAGGGTGGCTATAACTCAGTTTCACAGTTAGGGCAGAGGCCAGAGTGGCAAGAAAAATGCCATTCTCTGTGCAGAAGGGGAAAGAGGAGACATGGCGCTTGCAGGCACTCTCCTCTCCTCAGCCACAGCATTCACAACAAGCTCTGGTGCAGGGGGAACCTTTCCCTCTCCTCACAGAGCAGATCAGGCTCTACTCCCACAGTCACTTCACTGTTACATGAACGTTGCACAGCAGGGTAAGGCAGAAAGCAAGGTGCAGTGGGAGCAGCCTCCTTCAGCACTCCCAGCACCCTTCACTTGGGCCTTTCACCGGGGCATCTCCACTGCTATGGGCAGGCAGGAATAGGGTGAAGACTCACCATGTCCAGCAGAATATCCACTTTCAGCCGAAGGAGGTTGTTTTCTTCCTCTAGCTGCTGGTTTCGTTTGCGCAAGCGCTGCAATTCCCTGCGATCCCCCGTGAAGGTTCCTGATTCTGGGAGGAAAGAAAGAGGTCAAAATATAGATTGTCAGCCAACCGTGGCTACTTCAGACCAAAACAAGCTGAGCTGCACTCTACCTGACACCCACTGGCCATTTTCAAACTTCAGGCTCTGGCCAGCAAGGTTCATGGAGGGGGTGCCATACTCCAGGCCCAGCTCAACCTCACGGGTGGATCTATCCAGCTGCAGGGAGAAGATCACACTCAGCATTCCACAGAATTCCAAGCCACCCCCTGCTCTCCCATTTCATTAAAATGGAAAATGCTGGTCCAAATGGCCCTGGATCCTGGAATCCTGCTTTGGTCATGTACTGCTGCAGTAGACAACTGGCTTCTCTCACTACCATCCCTGCACTTTCTCCCACCCAAACACACACTCATCTCCCTGGGCTGGAAGACCACTGGTGAGGAGTTTTCAGTGAAATGGTTCTGGACTGCATGTGGGGTAACAATGATCTTTTCCTGAGCTATTCCATTTCTAGTTTTATATATAGTCACCAGTGATCAGAAACAGGGCCGCACCGCAGGAAGAGAGCAGCACAGCTGGAATCCTGAGTTTGAAGGACCCCACGGGGATCGAGTCCAACTCCTGGCCCTGCACAGGACAGCTCCAAGAATCACACCACGTCTGAGAGTGTTGTCCAAATGCTTCTTGAATTCTGTCAAGCTTGGTGCCGTGACCACTTCTCTGGGGAGCCTGTCCGAGTGCCTGACTACCCTCTGGGTGAAGAACCTTTTCCTCTCCCAGAAGAAGCTGGGAGCTCTTGTAAGGGTTACAGTACTCACAGCAGGAGCCACCCACCCCGGTTACCAAGCAAGCACTCCTGCAGCAAACCATGGGCACTGGGACTTACAAAGTGCAGGTTGGAGAGAGAGACCCATTTCCTGGGGGGCGTCTTCTTCGGGCTGAAGGAGTTCCCAAACAGGGGCATCACGTGCTGCTGGCCGGGCTTACAGGAGGCTCCCTGAAAGAGCAGGAGGGATAGGGCTGGTCTGAGGCTGTGGGACAGGAGCAGTGATGTGACAAGGCAGCTACGTTGCCACGGCTGAGGTTTGCTTCAGCCGCCCATTTTCCAGCACTGACACTGCCCGGTTTCCACCCAACACCAGCCCTCACACCCCTTCTCCCCAGGCAGTGTCCCCCTGGCTCTCAGAGAGGCCGAGATGGCGGTTTGGGGGGTACCTGGCTGCCACCCGCCACCGCTGCCCGGCAGCACCGGCCCTCCACGGGCACCTCCCTCGCACCTCTGTTGCCACGTGAACAAGCTGGGATGGGGGACAGAGGGTGCAAAGCGTAACAGCCCCTCCAGCCCTCACCTGTGCCCCCTCCCAACCTGTGCCCTCTCCTCACCTGTGTCTCCTCCCTACCCGCGCCCCTTGCCCTCGGCCGGTACCCCCCGCGCCGCGCGGTATCCCCCGGCACCGGCTGGGCACGGGCCGTACCACCCTACGGGCACGCCGAGGAGCTGCGAGGGGAGCACCGCAGGGCGTTATTCCCCGCACGGGCCGCCATCGGGATGCTCCTTTGTTCTGTTTTCCCTCCCGGCATCTCACTGGCGAAAGCAGCGGGCTCGGCGAGAGAAGAACCGATGAGGAACACCCCCGCCCTGCAGTGGTAGGGTCAGCCCCGCGCTGCGGGGGCGGTTGGGCCGGGCTGTTCCATCGGGCTTCGCCTCAGTGACGGGGGGGGCCCCACCTCTCCGTTGGGCCGCGCTGGCTCCCGGCGCTCCCCGTCCGTCCCCGGTGGGATCCGCCGCGTGTCCCGGGAGCGGTTTGCGGCCGCCGCGTTGCCGTGGCGACGGGATCCGCCGGTCCGCTCCGCCTCCCGTGGTGGGGGAAGACGGGGGCGGAGTGGCTGGGGCAGTGGAGATGGGGCTCCTCTCGCGTCAAAGTTGTGATGCGCAATCCGCGCTTTCCCTACACCCTCCCGAAAATGCTTGTGTCGGTTGGAAGACTTTCTAAAATTGTTTTGGGTGGGTTTTTTGTTTGTTTGTTTGTTTTTCAGATAAATACCTATAAGCCATTAGGCAGAGAACCCCTCCTTGCTTGGGAACATGGGAGAAAAAGTGGAAGAGGTCTGGAGTCCTGGACTGCGTGTGTTCGGGGGATGATGGGTGAGGAGCTGAAGAGGGAAGGATCCCACAGAACCACAGAATCAATTAGGTTGGAAAAGACCTCTGAGATCATCGAGTCCAACTCGTGACCGAACTCCACCGTGTCAACTAGACCATGGCACCAAATGCCATGTCCTGTCTTTCCTTACAAACCTCCAGGCACTGTGACTTCCCAGGAGCAGCTCCTCACATGCCTTTCTCCGAAGCAGTCCCAGCGTCCTGATTTCCTGCACACATTGCAAAGTCCTCCCTTTCAGCACATGATGGAATACATTTAGTTTTATTGTGTTACTTGCTGGCTTGTATTCCATGGGAGGTGGCTGTGGCAGTTAGTTTGGATAATATTTTAAATGAACAGCAGGGGTATGTAGCAGATATCACCGGTACTTTTTATATTGCAGGGGAAAAATGCCATTCCTAAATTATAAAATAATTCTCCAATATGTTAGAATTTAGTTATCTGAATTTACTTGCTTCATTGTTAGAAAAGCTTCTGTTGAGGACTTCCTGGGGCTTTCTTGAAAATTTTAGATGAATGAGATACTAAGATGCTGACTTTGGTTAAAAGGGAACAATAAAGAAAAGAAGAAAAAAAAAGAGGGGGCAGGCAGATAAAAGAAGAAGAAAAGAAGAAAATCACCAACCTTTTACTTTGGTTTGTACATGTATTAATACTCCAGGGGAAAAAAAAATCCAACAGTCTTTCATTCTCAGAGTGCTTAATTGGCACCCTGCCTCAAGTGAACCAGAAAATGACTCGCTTGGAATGAAAATTGAGAAGATACCACAATTAAACCCAGTGTCTGGAGACAAGAAAAATCTCTGGTGCTGCACTATCTTCTGGTAGTCCAGTTAAGCAATGTCTGTTTCTTGCAGGATACGTGCTATAAAAACAGTGGCCTTCTGACCTGGTGTACCAGAGTCTGTGCACTGGAAATTAGTGATTTTTGCAATAACAGAAGCAATTATATTGTGTGTGGGGAAACCAACACCCTTAAAAGCAGAATAAAAACTTGCCATCCTGAGCAAAGTCTTTGTGAAGTAGTCATGGCTTCTATCAGCATTTAATACCCATTGGATAAGAAATATGAAGGTCCAGATAAATGAGGGCAAGAACCTTGGAAGAAAAGCTGAGGGAATGTAGAATTAGAATTTTGAACTGAAAAAAAAAATGCAGCTATCCTGGGTGCTTATAAGAGCCAAAGACCACATAGGATAGTGAGGGGCTGAGATCTTAACACTCACTTTCTTTTTTTTCATTCGTTATATGCACTATAACGAATACTCAGTTATACTCAGATACTCAGACCTGAAGAGCTCCAGGTGAGAGATGCATCTCCCTGAGTTGCTCAAAAACAAAGGCACATATGTTTCCTTTGTAAACACTTAAGGAGTTTCTTATTGCGGGGGTGGGAGGGGGACCAACGACAGATGTCAAGAAGCTCTGGTCAGGACATGCCCTGCCAATAACACAGGGGGAGTAATGTTCACCTTCCTAGAAGAAATCTCTGTGTTTCAGCCCACTTGTTGCCTGAGTTCTCCTTGCACTGAGCAGGATGAGTATTGAAGTAATACATTATAGTTACTGTAAAACTAAACTGTCTCATGTATCCAGGGTCTCACCGTGATTCCCTGACAGCCTCTTTCTGTGGAACAGAGACTCTCAAAAGGCCAGGCTGCCACCTGGCCCAACCCTACCACTTTGGCATGTGGGGTGAATGCTTCCTTCTGTGTGTGCCTGATGGCTGTGTGTGTGGTGGGTAATACCTGTGTGAATAGTCTCACGGTTGGTAGGGCTTGTGAACGAGAGTTCAGAAAGCTTCTCCTGGAGACTGAGAGAAAGAGGTTCAGCGTCTGATTTCCTCTCTGATTTGCTTAAGGAATCTTTCTTCTTTGGCATGGCATTACTAAGTTTCATTTCTTGCCAGACTCCATTTCCTTGAAAAATGCTGTGGAATTTCCTTGCTGCACCAACCTCCTGGGCTATTCTGGAAGCAGCTTTTCATAGTTGTTTCTCTGCTCACATCAGGTAGATACCGAGACGAGAGCTGACCATTGCTGTTTCGAGCATTGCCTCTCGATGTATTGCATTGTTCTCCTGCCGGGGGTAGTTTGACATATGATTTTGAACAACGTTGAAAGCATCATGGCATAGCACAGTGCATCCTTTTGTGCCTGTTGCTTTGTGGGGAAGTGAATGCCTAGCACACACTCTGCCGGGACAATAACTAGAGATCACTTAGGTCCTGCAAAAGCTCATTAAATGGCGAAGAAACTGCATATCACAGTCATTGTGCAAGGAAGCTGTGTATGTTCTCATGAAGACATCTTTGGGAACACTGGTGGAAGGTTGGGAGATTGACAGGATGAAGATAGGGCTGCAGCACATGGCAATGTGGAAATTTTGGAATAGACCCAAGCTGTTCTTGGTAGCCTAATTTGGAGCATCTTCTTTGGCTTTTTTGGTTCACAAGCGATAGAGAATCTACAGCTTAGGTGGTCTCAGAGCTGCTTTTAACTCCATAGTGTTTCTCTTGCCTTTTTTCATATACACTGTGGGATTATTATTGTTCTCTGTTATATCAGTAATTTTAGGGAACCCCCACTGACTGGCGAGTTCAGTAGGCTTACTCTAAGCTTACTCTGATGTAAAAAAGAGTATTTATTGTAATTATTGCTGCTTGAAACTTGCTACATTGCCTGGTGGGCTAAATGAGACTGATTTTGAAACCTATAAAACCTATTTTGGCATATTGAAATTAATTCCCTGCCCAACTAAATTTTTTTTCAGTAGTGAGGTAATTCCTGTTGCCTCAGTGCTCTGCAGTTAATGATGTCCTTTCTTTTAGTATCCTAGATGTTAAATACAACACCTATATTTTACTGACAAAGCGGACACATCTTTTTCTCTCTGTGTTTCTTCTTTTCATTATAGCCAATTCAAGAGATAAAAGAACAGCCGTTTCACTGCTTTGCAAAGAATTGTGCTTTCCTCCTGCTTGACTGCCGCCGATTCCACCACCAGGAGGCCCTCATTCCAGTGCTTACGGCTAGGCAAAGAAAGCACAAGGACAGCAAAAAGAGGTAGAGAAACCTATCCCCACAGGAGTAATCTGAAATTAATACTTATCCTATAAACATAGATATTCAGAGTACTGTGCAGGCATCTATTATTAGAATCTATTATTATTGCAGGAATCCTAATATCCAACTATTAGTTGTACTGTAACTTCTGGGAATAATGGAGTGTCACAGATGGTATCCCTGCATTGAATCCCTCAGCGACAGCCAGGAAAGTTTACGCCTTTGTCTTCTGGATAGTAAAGTTCTTAGTGACCTAAGTAAAATAATAAAATGGAGTAAAGCACAGGTTTGACTTTTAGTCACTCCCGTCTGCCCTCTATCACCCAACGAATATGCCTTCCCCTTCTTTGCCTCTGCCTTCTCTCTTTTAGTTACTTATTCCTGGGTTCTTCATTTTCTTTCACTTTTCACAGCTGGCTTTTATTGTCTCCTAAAAGTTCTAAATATCTGCACTAACAGTCTGTCTGATTGTTCTGTTTTGCTAACATGACCTTTAAAGAAAGGGGGAAGGAGAAATGTTTTCAACCTTTCTTTTTTACCAAATCATGTACTTCTTTCCTTAATTATTGGCTCTTCAAAGCTGCAGTCATTGCTTTGGCTGAAATGTAGGTTTTGTTATTCAAAAGAACAGTGTGTCTGTGATCTCTTAACTAAAAAATATTTAGAGTTGCCTTTTTTTTTCCTTAAACCTTATTTTTTTCTCTTCATTGCTGAGTCAAGCCTTGTATATCTGCTTCTTTGCTGGTTTCCCAAGATCACGTTTCAGTGCTGATGAGTCCAAGACACAGCTTTGTAATGCAATTTCAGAGTGGATGATAGGTAAGAATAGTTTTGCTCCTTGCAGGAAATGCGGCTCCTGCAAGCTGTAGCCTGCAAACTGAGTTACCCCTTCTCTTTCAAACCCAGTTTCTGCCCTCCTTCCCTGAATTCACACATATGCATTTCACATGTTTACATTTGTTTACTTGGACCTTTTCTTATATGTACTAACGTGTAAAACACATATCCTCTGCTCTAAGAAGCAGAAAAAGCATAAATGAAGCCATGATGATGTATGCAAAGTTCCCAGGCCTCTAAGGTTTCCCAATCACCACTCACCATTCTGGCCACCCTATTCACTTAAAAGAGTTTACACAAATACACAGGCAGTTGAGCCACTCATGCACTCTGGAAAGAATCCATCACTTCCTGACAGAGTTTGCCATGAGGCTGTCCTTGGTGACTGGGAGACTGAAGGCTCAGAGAATATGTGCTGCTCACAGAGCAGTGAAAACTCGTGTTAAGCTCTATTTCACTCTGTTCCTACTACCTGGCTACTCTTTGCTTGCTTCCACATCTGTATTTTCCTTCTTCTTTTTGTCTCTTACTTTCACAGTCATCTGTTTCCATGGATCACTTAACATGTCCTTTTTAGGAAATGATGAAATATTAAACCTCCA